ACTCTATTATAATAACATGTCTTTCTTCCCTAATACATTTTCTACTAAACTCTTTGAGTTTATCCATGTTGTCTAACATACTGTTTAGCACATAGTAGATGCTCAACTTGATGTTTGTTGAAACAAATTACAGCACTGATGCTCTCTGTACAATATTATAGATCTACATTTTCATCAGTTCCTTTCATACCGAAGTTTGATCTCCCTGATTGTGCAGAGTTCATCATTGCGTCCTTAGAGACTAGCATGGGGTTTAAAACACAGTACATGACAAGTAAATGTGTGTTGAGGATGAATAATTGAATGCATAATTAAGAAAAAATAGGTATACATGGGGCATCCTTGATGACTCTACCAAGACTTTGTTTGCTACAGAGAATTGGCTGGTACCGCAGGGTTACACAGGCCATTATCACAAGCCTTCCTTCTATACAACAAGCTATATCATTGGTTGGGTACAAGACAGGTGAGCAGAGGCTGTTTAACTACAGAGACAAAATCGGTTGCTGGGCACGGAGCCATACCTGAGATTCATGACTACCTCCTAGTTCCACTCAAGTCAACTCACTTCTTTTGCTCCAAAGGCAGGGATCTTTTACTCTGCGCTCCTGACAGCCACAAAGAAATATTCCTCTCTAACAGAGCCTTCCATATAGGTTCTCACGAGCCATAAACATCCAGCCCGTGATCTGGTCCTACAGAGGTGGTTGCAGCAGGAACTGGGTGTGTATCTTATATGCGGGTTCGGGGCAGGTGGTAAGGAAAGGAGATGGGACAGCTGAGACTTGCCATTGTGCATAATGACAAAGTCAGATCATGATAACCATTGCCATGGTGACAAGCCACTTCTGTCTATCGCGCATGTAACTTATCATTGGTCACCATCTCTACAATGTCAGGTTGATGTGACCTGAGGACTAATTAACGTCTCAGAACAGCAGGCACAGGAGGGGTTGATTTTCACTATTTATTTCTGCTAAGGAAAAGCTAAGAACAATTCCTGAGGTCTTTGTTTGCACAGAGTCTGTGCTACATTGGGATCTGGAAAACAGACATATTTGGCTTATGGTCTTGATGTGTCTTGTTTGAAAATATGCCACAGTCTGATCAGAAATAATCACTTTGGAAGGAGCTCTGCTACTTTTAAGAGGATGAGATTTTTGCTATTACTGAGCAGCCTACTGTTTATAAAAATACTTGATAACTATTTTGTTAGTCTTCTGTGATATCCTCTGAAGACAGTCCCTGTTAAATTCACTCTGATCAATGTGTACATGGGCACCGGGCTGCTTCGATATCTGTTCATTATGCCAGAATGATTTTGACATCTGAAACAGAATCAGCTAGGCAGAAATATTATGGAAAACTTGGGAACACTACTTTTATTATTGTTATCCAATTAGATGTTATAACTATAAGATTTGAAAATATCAATAGACTCAAATTGCCTGACACATAGCAGAATACTCAAAGATATTTGTAGAATAAAAAATAAATTAACAACTGCAGACTGTAGGTATATGATTATAAATTTAGTGGCTGGAGGGAGATCCTGAGAAACACAGGAAATGATAAACATGGAATCCAAACTCAAATATTTGCCATTTTCCAAATATGTTTGGCTGTTCAACCCCCAATGTGTTGATCCATTACCTTTCTTCCACCTTAAAAGCCCTCTCCCACTTTGTGCATAAGGTAAACTTATACATAGTCTATTCTGATCTCACCTCTCACAGCCCAGCCCTTCTCTCTGCCCCCTACTAAAGGCACAGTTAGTTATTCTGCCCTCCATGCCAGCCTGAGCTTGTGAATCCCAGCCCATCTGAGCCCAGCAACTGCACTGCACTATAATGACTTCTGAAGTTAAGCTTCACCTGGCTCTCTCAAGGCCAGACGGGTCTTACTCAGCATTGTATTTCCAGTGCCTGTGTAAGTACTCAATGAATGTTTTCAAAAACGATTCCAGCATACATGAGGACATGATACAGATGCAGTCAGAATTTATACACTTGATGAATGGTGCATTGATTCAAATCTAAGTTATTCAAAATCACATAGCATGTGGGTGGTAGCTTCTGAAGACCTTCCAAGATCTGAACTTGGTTCTGTCTAATGCCAATGCCCATATTCTCTCTATCAGGTGTTGAGGTATGTCCAGGGGCTATGGCGGGGTGGTGGAGCTAGGAGGGAAGGCTCCTGAAAGAGGTCACTGAATTTGACATCTGTGAATGCCTGGGAAGAAATTGCTCCAGGGAATTAATAATAGAAGCAGGGAGAAATGAAAATAAGAATCCATTCTTTGGGTTCCACCGACCACCACCAGGCTAGGAGAGTGTTCCTCTAACACTCCGTCAAGCCGTTCTCCACATCTGGGCTAGGAAGGCAAAGGCACACTTGCCGTTTGGAAACTGCATTGCCAACCCCACGAAAGAAATTCCATTTTCATCCCCCTCTGCAGAGGTGCACATAGCGGGTGCTGAATAAATACTTCATGAACTGAAGAACAGGAAACCAAAGCAACCACGAAGTTTCCAGCCCTCCTCACAAAGCTGTGGGATCACACATTTTAACTTGGTTTATTTTTACTTTAGCACTCTGAAGGTTGGAGTGCAGGGAAAAAACAGAACTTCTCTTAAGTAGCGATTCTTACTCTGTGTCCTATCCCCGCCAGTCTGTGTGGTGCAAGGGAATTTTTTCCAAGAGGCCCCTTAAATGTGTCAAAACTCCAGGTGGTGGTACTTTAATGTCTTTTAAAAATGAACCCCCCCAATCATCTACCTGGTGCTCCCCCCAGGTAACTCCCAGAACCACACAGCATCTGGGCAGCACCTGCATTAGATCCTGTACCCGCTGAACTGCATGCAGTTCTTGGGTCTTGGACTAAAGACGACTTCCAGCTCTTACATAAAGGCTACTTTGAGCACTCTGCCAAAAACTGGGGAGGCACTTTTTCCAAAGAAACAAATACATTTTGTTTCCACAGTTAGCATGAGGCAAGACTGAGTTTTATTTTTCCCCTACCTGTTCCCTGTCTTGGGCTGAGATGTAGCTAATTAGGGGCTGAAGGGAGCGGTCGCCAAGATCACATCTTCGCACGGGCTCTACATGAGCCGCAAATCTGGGTCAGGGCTGTGGTCCAGAAATGCAAATGAATATAATAGCCTCTGCCTGCATGTCAGGGCTAACAAGCTTTAAAACATGGTGACAACAGAGGGAATGGAGTTCGCAGGCTTGCAACCGGTAAAAATGTAATCTTTCATCTTTGGCGACAGAAATTGATTTTCTGAGCCTTTTCGCATTGTTCCCAAAAGCCTTCGATGTCAACTCCCTGAGGTGTCAACATAAAACAAGAAGTTAGGGGTGGAGATCAAACTTCCCTTGGCCTTGAACATGATCTGAGCATTGGGTCTCCTGCTAGCGCTAGAGTCAGCACTAGCACAGGGCCTGTGTTCAAGGGACATCCGGGGCGCAGACGCACAGACTCGGTGACTAGAGCTAACCCAGGTCTACACCGAAGAATACAAAGGCATTTGTCTGGTGGGATTGAGTAAGGCCTGTGTGGGACCCGGTTTCCATAGAGTGAATGTAAATGGATAGATTAGCAGCAGCTTCTTTCCTGTCGAGGGGCATCTGGAGACTTTGCCTAACCTGATGTTCAAGGTCAGCCTCCCTGGGTAGGATCTCATTCTACATTTTCCCTGTTACCACATTACATTTCAGGTTGCATAATTTTTAAGTAACTATTTCTCCGCATGTGCATTATGTTCCCAACACTCTTCTCAGCACTTTACGTGTTATTTCAGTATGTGTAACTTTAAAAATATAACAACTTTACCGAGCCTTTACAGATATTAAAAACACTTCGTATTCTTTACCCATTCCAAACGTATTTCTTGAGCACCTGTTATGTTCCAGGCATTGTTCTGGGTCTGGGTGTTAACACCTCGTAGAGTTTACGTGCTGCAGAGGCACAGATGAGATACCAATGCATAACTCATTCATTAGTCCCAGAATAGAAGTGATAATGAGGAAATAGACTTATTTAAGGAAGAAAAGGGCACAGGACATATAGAAGATAGAAGGAGGGACATTTAGTGAGGAGGTTCAGGGAAACCTTGTTGAATAGCCATCTGAGAGATCAAAGCCATGAGTCATGAAAAAACCCAGGGAGGAAAATCTTCTCAACAGAGAGGCCAAGAAGTCCTGTTAACAACCCTGAGCTTCCCTCTGGTGCATTTGACCAATGGCTGGAAATAAGTGAGGACGATAATGATAGGGAATGAGGTCCAACAGAACGTCAGAACTGGACCATGCAAGGTCTTGGAGAACAAGGTTATGGGTTTCTATTTTATTCTGCAGATAATGGGCGAGCCTATCTGCATATTTTAAATACCATTACATTGGCTCTTGGTAGGCAAGAGTGGAAAGAGAGAGACAGGAGGCTGTCACAGACGTTCAGGTGAGGGGTGACAGTGGTTTGCTGTCACGTGGGGTTAGTGAGGTGGAGCTGGGGCATAGATGAAGGTATAGCTGGTAGGAAATGCCCACCGGACCACACAATAATTCTCTGAGATGAAGAAATGAGAATGGCTAGGTGGACCTGCAATATATTTGAGGGTGGAGGTAGTAGGAGTTAACTTTACTCCTGTTATAATCCTAACTCCTACATAATAACCCAGAGTGAAAAAGTGAGCCGACAGGGAAGTCAGACTCTATTGGAAAATCAAGAAGGGAATTGGGGTGATTAGATAGATAATTCGGGCCCACACCATCTTTCTTTCATTGTTACCCGGACATTTCCAAGGGATGCTTCCTTTTCGGCGGACTCTCCCCATCCCTACGTGGAGAAAGACTCAGCAACAGCAGTTTGTCCCTTACTTATTCAGATGGTTTACGATACCATTTGATGTTTGCTTTTCTCTTATCACTGCGTATGAGTCACCAGAAAAAACAAACCTGCCTTCACAAACTTCCAGAGCTGCATTCGTCCGCTCTGTGTTGACAAGAAAGAGAACGCTGTTGGCAAAATCCGACACAGCTGGCTGTTTGTTTTCTTGGAGAACCCAAAGGTGAATATAAATAATTTAGGATAGCTTTTATGATCTGCCTGTTCCTGGGTGACAAAAGTAAATGAATAAAGCGAAGGTTGAAGAGGAAGAAATATTTTGAAAAGTTGAAGGGAAACCTAAGATGTCATTTGCCTTAACAAATATTTATTGAACCACCAGAGTGTGCAAGGAAACAGAAAAGGACTAAAAGCCTGAGTTTCGTGAGTGTTAGGTGCCATTACACCTGGATCTGGAAAAGACACGGGGAGACAGGTACGATTCTTTGCATCATTTCACAGAAGAAGAAATGAGCAGGCTTGGAGAGGGGAGGGAATTGCTCTTACTCCCACACCTAGAAAATGGCAGAGTGGGCCCCACATGCACTGCCTGACTCCAAAGGTCATGTTCTGGGTGATCGTGTGGACGGCTTCACAATTGAGGGATTCGTTAGCCATTCACTATCTAGCGGTGCCGGGTGAGGAAAGGCTGTTAACAGCCAGAAGCGATTTAGGATCATTGAGAAAGGTTACATAGCAAAGCTGTCACTTCTGCTGGGATGGGAAGGAAGGATGACTTACACAGGAAGAGGGCAGGTGTTCTCGGGGCAAAAGGATGAAAATCAGGGAGGAGTCCAGGCTGTCATCTATCGAATGTTCTCCAGGTTGCCAACCAAGTTTTTTTGCATATTTATTCATCTTATTGATAATATTTATGTATAATATGTAGTATGAGACATATAAATAAAACTAATATAAATTATATATCATAATATACAGGGCATAGCATATTATGTAATTTTAATATATGCTATACATAATTTAATATAAATATGCAAAAAACTATATATACCTCTATAACAGTCTATTCATAATATGTGTTTACATATTTATAATATATAAATATTATTATATTTCAACATGCGTACTATACATATAATGTTATATATATATTTCCATCACAGACGTGGTTTCAATTTGTGTAATGAAGAAAATCCAGCCTGGAAGTCCTGAGGTGTAAGTTTCCCCATTTCCGTCAAGTCCCTTCATTTCTCAAGGTCTCACGCTCCAGCTCAGACGGTGAAAGGGTTGGACTACACAGTTTGAGCATCCCAATCAGCTCTAAAATTCTTTGATCTGGACGTGAAAACCCAGCCGAATGCTCTACTGGTTGGTGCCGTGTCCCCCAAGGTGGCGCAGGGCACGGGCACGCCCCTGCTGCTACATGGGCTTGTCTGTGCACCTGTTGGCCCCTCTGGCCCGCGTGCTGCCTGAGGTTCCAGGATGCGGTCTCCTGCACCTTTGTCCCCAGCGTCCCGCCCATAGTCAAGCAGAACAGCTAGATATTGTCCTTCTTGCACCACACTCTTAAATGACTCGGTATCACTTTTATTGGAAAATATCACTTCAAACACACTTCTTCCCTCATTTGGTTCCTGGCAGTTGGGATTGAGGTTGGAATCCCTTGTCAGAATGTTGTAAGGGGCTTCATAATTACTACATATTTATCCTTTCAACAAGAAATCTCAAAACAACTTACCAAGAAAGCTATTACTGCATAATTCAGACTGAGGGACAAAGAGATCAGGAACTTATTAGAGGTTAATAAATTATTCACTGACTGGGACTTGAGCTTCTGAGCCCCAGAATCACAACTTTCTGTACAAACCCAGAAGAGCAGGCCAAGGCAGCAGTAGGCAGACAGAGGCTGTGGGTGCCCGGTGGACTCAGCATAATCAGTGTACCTGTGTCAATTTCATTTCCATTTACGAATAGGGATGCTGCCTCGTGGGAGCAGAAAAGCTTCCCCACTCTTTTTCCATCCTCGAGCAGGGTAATTCGCCATTCAGATCTATTCGGAAAGGAACACAGAGTTTATCTCAGCCAGCTCTGAAAAAGGAGGGAGCTCTCTGCAGAAGTAGCCACTCTGGGCTTGGCCGGGATCACCTGCATCCTAGGCTGGGTGTTATATTATGTCCCTCCACCATTCATTCTGACTGCCTTCCTCATTGGAACCTTGTTTGAAAATCCCTTTATCTTCTTTTGACCCTGGTAGACTGCTACCCAAAGGAATACACTGTCATCCTTCTCAGCCTGTCTGGAGAGATTTAGCACTCTGTTAAGGGAGTTTCAAAGAAAAGACTTTTAGCAGTCCTGGAAGGAAAACAATGTATGTTTTCTATAAAGAAATGGGTCACATTTATTTGTTTTTGTGAGTGAGCTGAAGATGCTTCAGGAAATTTAGACATATATGGGTGTTATCACTTCAATATTTCAGGTAGAAGAAAAATCACAAATTTGTATACATTTGAATTGACTACCTGCATATTCCAGAAGTGCTTGAATTAGGGAATATTCAGCACCAAAGAAATGCCCTTTTGTTACTTTCCAGCAAAAAATCAATTCAGAGTAAGAAAAGTATGCCTAATGAAAGTCCTAAGGGAATGTGCTTTCCTGAGTAAAAAAGAATTGTTAAAATTAGATTAACTTCATGGTAATATAAAACAAATTTTATTGAGGGCACTTTAAAATTTGACTCACTCTTTCTTTTTCACTACCATTTAAAATATTTCTTTTGCAAACTTATTTACACTTTTAATTGCACATTTGTATCTAAGAAAGCAAACTGTGTCCCGTAAATAACACCCACTTTGGCATCACACCTGGAACCAATTCCAACTTTGCCACTTGCTGGTTGGGAGGACATTGGGGATATTTCTTAACCTTTCTAAAACTTTAAATTCTTCTGTAAAAATGTGACAAAATTCCTCCCTTAAGAGATGGTTGTGTGAATAAGATAACGTATTCGCAGTGCCTACCAGCTGGTAGAAATTTTAAAAATCATGCTTTTTATTTTTAAGCCAAGTCTTATCCCAATTTCCCTAAAAGCCAAAACAATTGAGATTGAATTAAGAAGGCATTTGCTCTTTGTTATTTATCTCTTTGCTATGCTGCCTTCTTTTCCCAAAATGGTCATATATTTCCCATTATGCTTCTCTAATAAATAGTTTTAAAATGTGACCTGTGGTAAATTGGGAAAGAATACTTGACCCTTTTCACGAAGATGGCGTCCAAAGCAAAGAAGGAAGCCCCTGCCCCTCCCAAAGCTGAAGCCACAACAAAGGCTCTGAAGGCAAAGAAAGCGGTTCTGAAAGGCGTCCGCAGACACCAAAAAGAAGATCCGCACATCACCCACCTCGCAGAGGTCTAAGACACTCGTGCTCCGAAGGCAGCCTGACTCTCCTCGGAAGAGCGCCCCCTGGAGACACCGGTGTGGCCACTACATTATCATCAGGTTCCCCCTGACTGCCAAGTCAGACATGAAGAAGATAGAAGACAACAATATACTTGGGTTCACAGTGGATGTCAAGGCCAACAAGCACCAGGTCAAACATGCTGTGAAGAAGCTCTGTGACATCGACGTGGCCAAGGTCAACACCCTGATCAGGCCTGCAGGAGGGGAGAAGGCGTATGTTTAACTGGCTCCAGGCTAGGGTGCTTTGGATGTCGCCAACAAAATTGGGATCATCTAAACTGAGTCCAGCTGGCTAATTCTAAATACAAAGATTTTATACTAAAAAATACAAAAGAATAATTGACTTTCTGTTTTCCTTTGGGAAAAGAAAAGGACAAATGAGGATTACTGAAAAAGTGGTCACCTTTTTCTAACACCAACCCTATTGCTAACTTACAGATATTCAAACCCTCATTGAAGTCAAACGGTGGACACATGTATGAATTTGGGGATTAATATGATGGAACACAACATACTGAACTTCTCTCATCTCAGTCAATTCCTTCTTCAGTTATTACTTCTTTTAGTGACTTGGAACAAAACATCTACATTCGCTAAGAATCTAGTTCCCCACCAGCAAATAAGAAAACATTATTACAGGGACTGAAACCTGAAATAGCTGCAGGGATCAGGCATAGAGAGAGGCAAGAGGGCCAGCTGGCGATGGAACTACTTGTTGGCAACAAATTCAAATGTAAAAAAGTGTGTCCAAACGGTGACCTCTACTTTCATTGATCTTGTCAGGTTCCACCTGCTAGGATTTCACATGAAGTGGGCCTTGCCTGTAATCAATGGTTTAATACATTCCCTTTCGCACAGCCTAATGTAGCCATCATTACAGAGGTTTTGTGAGAGTCGGAAATTTCTTAGAATTCCTGATCCGTGGAAATCTTCAGAGATATAGAAGATATAATTATACTAGTGCATGAGAGGGAGGGTGATGAAAGAAATGTCTCTAAAAGGTCATTTTAAGGTCATGACTCATTTGTCTTTGATTTCAAGGAGGGAAGAACCATTCCTTGGTGTTGGTGACTCTTCGGAATTCTTCCCCGGACTTAGGAACTTCAGCGTTAGACAAATAACCAGTTCGTCTTGGTGTTCCCTCCTTTCCCCAAATGAAGGCATAACTGTATGTATCTTTACATGAGAAAACGTACATGTATTTGAATATAGTACTAACTGCTCTATTTCCTGCACTAGAGAAATGGCAGAACCTATATTCTTTCACCGGTATTATCGTTGCCAGTGATATTGTATTCCTTATTTTATTTGTTGTTTTAAAGATTTTATTTATTTATTTTTGGAGAGAGGGGAAGGGAGGGAGAAAGAGAGGGGAAAAATATCCCCGTGTGGTTGCCTGTCACGTGCCCCCAGTGAAGGGACCTGGCCCGCAACCCAGGCATGTGCTCTGACTGGGAGTTGAACCAGCGACCCTTGGGTTCCCAAGCCAGCACTCAACCCATGGAGCCACACCAGCCAGGGTGTGTTTTTTTATTAAAATGCAGTTGATATACAATATTGTATTAATTTCAGGTGTACATAGATACTCAGTATTCATATACCTAATGAGGTGATTGACATGCTAAGTCAAGTGCAGGGTTATTATAATAGCATTGACTACTTTCCCTATGACGTGCATTACGTCCCCAGGACGTGTTTATTTTGTAACTTGAAACGTGTACCTCTGAGTTCCCTTCGCCTGTTTCACCCACTCCACCCACCCCTTCCCCTCTGGCACCATCCATTTTTCTCTATGTCTAGGAGCCTGTTTCTGTTTTGTACTATTTCTTCAGTTGTTTTGTTTCCAGATTCCACGTATAAATGAAATCATATGGTATTTTTACTTCTCTGTCTGAGTGATCTTGTAGTTTTAGTTTTTTTTTTAACAGAGTACTCAGTATTTGCGATTAACTTAAATTTGTGACCTTCGGGATGCATTTTGTCAATATGCATAAAGACTCATGTTCAAGCCCTGACTAGCGTAGCTCAGTGGATTGAGCACGGGCTGTGAACCAAAGTGTCTCAGGTTCGATTCCCAGCCAGGGCACATGCCTGGGTTGCAGGCCATAACTCCCAGCAACTGCACATTGATGTTTCTCTCTCTCTCTATCTTCCTCCCCTCTCCAAAAATAAATACATAAAATCTTTAAAAAAAAGACTCATGTTCAGTGACATAAGCCCTTTCAGGAAGTAAAATACATGGCCTCATTCTAACTCCACAACTCGGTGCAAACGGCCAGCTTGGAACCCTGTTTTCACTGAGCAGCACTGCAGTGCAATGCCTGAGGGCAGTCCGCTTAGTGACACGAGGCAGGGGAGGGAATGCACTTTGGAAGGATGGGTATGGGTGCTAGACAAGAGAGTGTCTAAGAAACCAATAAAGCTGCAATACAACAACAGTCACTTTATTATTAGATGCTAAAGAACTTCTAGGGAGATTTATATCTCCTTTTAATTTCACCCTGAGATTGTTTCAAATTCAATTGCTGGACTGTTTTAGAATAAAGCAGCAGTTCAAGAGGAGAATGCCTTCAACAGACTTAGGATGATTTAGAGTAGGTTTAATCATTTTCTGCTCTCTCCAGGAAGATCACTGACGTGACTTAAGAGGCAGAACGTACGCTGATTTTATCCTCAGAGAGGAGGAGAGATGCTAAAAGCTCATTATGAACAAATGCATTTGCATGCCGCCTGCTTCGCATTCCGAGAGTGAGCAGAGACAC